GTCCTCCGTATGCTCGTTGACCGACTTCCCTGATGTGCATTATACACCGTCGCAGCGCTACGTTGGGCGAAACCATTGGCCATTAGCTGACGAGGCATAATGGCATGAAGAAATTGACTGAGAGACTTGGCCAGGCTAGTGCCTGGAATGGGGCCTCGGGGCGGTCCACATCAGTGATTGGAGACCCTTTCGGACGTGGCGCATTTGCACAGTTAGTGGCATCCCTGCATTTGTTTTCTTGCATCTGACTGCTAATACTCACTTCATCCCGATCAGTTATATGTTCCTCTTTCTTAACCCACTTGTCTTGATACTCTGTTTGTTTTCAACCTCGTTCTCTCGCCGGTATTACTTATTGTTATTCTAGTGACGCGAGCCTTGGCAACCGAATTCACCTCACTTCGGTGCACAGATCACAGTCGTTTAGCCGAATTGCACGGGACTATAAAAGAGAAAAACCGATCCTCCTTCGGTACCGTATTTTTCTTTATATTAAACCAAAAAGTTTCCCTCAATTACTGCTATAGTTTTGATGGCGCGTCTGTCTGTTTTCAGAATTGTGAATAAACACAGTGTATAATACGTATAGCGCTACTTCTAGCGCTGTGTACAGGTCTATGGAAATTTCACCCCTGGGGTAATCGCGATAAGTAGGCGGCGTCAAGGTTACGGTTTCTATCTTTCTTTTCCACTTTTTAATAAAAAGTGATGATGATAATAATAATAATAGTGTTAGCTGTGCGCCGTAACGACGCTTCGCTCCCGTGCAACCACCACCAGTCGCACGCGGGCTGAGTATACCACGAGCACGCCCACCCCTACGCGGATGACAAAAGTTCATGAATTATTCTGTCTCTTCCATGTTTTCGAACTTAACTTTTCTACCTATTGACCGCAAACCTCGAAATACATGGATCCCACCGCTATCTAGAGTTCCTACACAACCGCCATGTAAACTTGTTTGGATGAAATGACGCATAGCGTCTCCTTTACATGTGTTTCACACCCTAAAACTGCAGCGTACCACTGCAGGATTGGTCAGAGTTGCAGCTGTTCTCACTATCGTTGAACATTCATTGAAAGCGGTCAACCCGTTGTTTGCCGTCTTTTCTACTTCATTCACCTGAGAGGTTAGTACGCACCTCGGTAAGACCCAGGTGACTTTTCAGTACCGAACTAGTATATAATTAAGGTGCGACGTTAGTTCATTGATTCATAACAAATATACAGCGTTTCGTCGCGTTCAGAAGTACAGAACTTGTACCCTTGAGGTACTAGCAGTTGTGTCGTCTTTGACCACCAATGCTTGTGCGGCATTGTTTGCTGCTAGTAGTACCGAGAAGTTAGTCATTCTGATATGTATTGGCCGATGCTCATCAGCGGTCCTTCGTTCGTCCCAGTTGATCGTCCTCTGCGCCTGAGCACTCTGTTGGTCGATCACGTTGATCAAACGCTTAACTTGATGTTTGTTGTACTTTGGATGAGACTTAGTTCGATTAAGCCTCATTATGGGCAAACAGAGAAATTGTGGTGAGGGGTAACGAAATCGACCAACAAACCTAATAAAGTTGGTACATACCGCCCTCGCACAAATGAGCCTCGGGTTAGTCTACCTCAGTAACTAGATACGCTAATAGCTATAGTGCAGCTGCGATATCAATGGTTCTCTTGTATCTTATCTATTGCTTCTTACCGTTATGTTCTACTCAACAATTTCCTATTTTTTCTTGGCTCTTTCCTGGGGATTTATCGCTCATGTTTTCACGTCATTCTATTGCCCGTTGTTTTTCTTTCCTTTTATATGCACTACAACTCATAACAACTGGATCCATCACGTTTCTGCGCCATGATCATGCTTAATGACCGGACCAGCTTCACTGGATCGTGTCTCGCGTTTCCGAGAAATGTACATATAAGAACTAAATTGGATTTCTCTCCACTTCCGTTAATTATATTGTTTCTTAAGATGGCTTAACCGGCCCGTAGCTTAAGAATCATAAGTCTGCTTTGTACTACGAGAGCTGGGGTTCGTGTATGCTTAGGGACCGGGTGATACGTGCAGATGGTGGTGGTTGCGCGGCAGCAAAACCTTGGTACAGCGTACTGGTGATGCCTTACCCACTAGATGCTGTTTTATTTTAGAGGCGCTCTATTCCATAGGTCTAGTGCGCATCCACGTGTACGCTTGGCGAGGTCTCGTATTTTGCGCCGCTGTTGTGATTCATATGCCTCATGACCACCGTTGTATCCATCCTGAGTGGCTTATCGTGCTTGACCCTTATTCCTCGTGACCGGCCACGTTGGATCGCACTTGATACAAATGTTGGCAACACAACTACTCATTCAACTTTGCTGCATTTGCCGCTATCCGCGACATAGTGAGATGAGAAGGTTGTCCCCTCACAGGACGGCTTATTGCTAAGCAACAACCTCGCGTGTATCTGAGATGTTTACTTCAAACCACTATCTCGGCGCCACTATGCTGTGCGTTGCATCTGCAGTCTCTTTTGACTGCCAGTGCTCTGAAGTACTACGATGCATAATCACCTAACGCTTAGTGATATGCTTGTTACCGGCGATTCCACTTCTCACCCGTCCTAATCCAGATGTACGCTCGAGAAACAACTAAATAAGTAGATGGGTATGTTTCCTGACAGACAAGATGCCTACCGCTTTTGGAGAACGGTTTGTGGTTCATGGTTGCCTACCACAACTGTAGGTGTGTTAGCTAATCTTGTCGGTTTTATGAAAGATTCCATTGCATTAGCACTTCTTGGGAACAATTTATTCAATATGTTCCTCGAACATGAGATCTAAGTTAACGTACAGCTAGATGCATCAGCACTTCATTGATTGAGTCTGGGGCCGATACGGAATATATAGCAAAGAACAGACTAGAAAATAACGAAGCATATGTTTTTGGGCCTGATTCCATGAGTACACTAGTAGATTACTGAGGGCTGAATATCCCACTCACCATTTTATAGATGTAAACGTTTGTATTAGCATTCCATGAGTCGCAATTCCTCGTTTACTCTTAGTTACTATGCTAACTTATTCCACAGCTGTTTTCACCTTGCTATGGATGAGTTTAAGCCGGTGTTTTGTCTGACCTTCTCTAAGATCGAGTGCCTCCTATTACAGATGCTACCTGTTGTACAAGGGCCATACTGGTTGTGAAACCTCGCATATGTATGATGTAGAAGTGGGCTGAATTTTCACTTGTCGCAGCCAGGGGGGTCAATGCGGAGGCAACTATATCGTTCATTGTAGTTAAGTGTTGATGGGCGCCCCGGTATCAATTTGGCGAATGAGCGGTGGACGTTCTCCAGAGCAGTTCTGACTGTTCTGCATAGGTTGCTATGGATTATGGTGTAGCACTTCAGCGTGTTGCACTGTGAGCTCGAATGCTTTAAGTCATGTTTTGGTTAGTGAAAGCAATCCTATGATTCAGCCTGTCGATTTTTCGCCACTTGACACATAGTGTGTTCGGGAGCTTTAAAGTGCTAAACTATCGGATGCTTACGTTTCGGGTGGGATTGGGATGCCAGCAAGAGTGGTGAAACCTTCCATTATACCACATTCGGGGTCAATCATCTGAGATTTCTTTTCATATAGTTAGTACTAATAGGTCCTCACATATATTTTTCAGCTATAACTCTAGTTGATCAGGTGGGAGTACACAATTTTGGTGACATCTACTTTCGAGGATGGGCGTTCATGTCTTATGTGACGACGTATTGTTTATAAATTAGGAAAAGTTATGATCCTAGTATATTTCCACGAAGGATACCACTGGTAGCATGTCTAGGAGTAGGCCTGCGCTGTCCTTCCTGTGGTCTTTGTGTTCGGTCATTCAAGTGTGAGTCGAACCAGCTCAGTAGAATTTTATCCATCCCTGAGGTTTACGCACGACCAAAGACAGTTTGTGAGACATATGATCTAACCCTGCGTGTGGGTGTGTGTACGTGAGTTTGTGCGTGGTTAAAGCCATGGATGTGTTTGCAGCGTAAGTCACGCTTACTTCATGCAGGTGTGAACACTCCGTGACTGTTTGCAGACTCGGTGACAGTTTGATCCGGAAACGAAATTTCCGAACCATGAAAAGCACTTTTAAGTAAAATGATATTCCATTGAAATGCACACTATGTTTGAGTTATTCTCGCTTATATGATAAGCTTGCCCACGCATGGCTGTGGCCTTGTCCATATGTCTGTCTGCAGATATTCTGTGGTTGTTTCTCGCGGCTGCGAGTTGTACTCTCTTCACAAGAGTTTTGGACCTATGCTGGTTCTTAATTTCGAATTTACTTCCAAGTGGATACAGAATGCGAATTGTTATGCCTATTACTTTTTACACGACCTTTATCTGGCCATTTTTCACAGCCGTTTTCTCATTGTTTCTTTTACATGCTTCTTGTCAGTCTCTACTCGCTTCTACGTCTTCCAACACATAAGCGTGCTTCCCTTTCGCAAACTGAGATGTGATGATCATATTCTCTCCGTTCTTTCACTTACCGCTGGCGTAATTGTCCAATTAAGGCTTCACCATTCAGTGGGCTGCCCTCTTACAACAACTTATATGCTTGCTGCGTGCCTTTTTTGCCTTTACGTAAAGAACCTACTAACACTTATCTAGTGCTATTCCCATGCACACATCTATGCTTTGGAGACTCAATTCACGTCCGCAACTAATTGGCGTTGTTGACACCCTAGGTTACGGTCCAGCTACTTATCTTCCTACCTTGTTATCTCGGATTCACCATGACTCAGCGGGCGCGGGTCCATGGAGTATTACAACGCTGTGGCTTTTCGCATGACGACGAAACTACCATATCTCGTTATGACGTAAATCTGCGGCGTCTTCCCTTACTACGTCTACCACTTACTGAATGAAATCTTGGTTTATCCACCCTCTATTTCTTGCCTTCCCTTCATTTATGTAGCGGCAATTACCTATCATCTTAGCCCTCTATGTGTTTCCTTACCTTCTCTCCACAGGAGAAACATCTGTTCCCTTTGTTTGACCTCGCCTACCAAGGGTTCGCAAGCGGAGATCTGGATAACGATGCCTGGGCCGTGCGCTATTTTGCGGAGCAGGGAATGGAACTTTTCGTTGCGCAGTCGTTCTCAAAAAATTTTGGATTATACAGTGAGCGAATTCATTCCCTTGTTGTCGCCACCATTGTGCTAGCGAGATAAGTTGCGCCTAGTTTCTATGTCGTCATTTCGCTCGCTCACATATACTGACAACTCACTGGACAAAAATTTGATTCCCCTGCCATCGGACACTGGGATCATTTCAACATTGCCTCACTACCAACTGTTTACCTGTGTTTACACCTACTTGAATTTATCGGTCTATCACTTTTGTCTGCTCATCACATCAATGTACACCATCATGCAACTTATCAGCGCAATGAGATTGGACCTTATCGTGCCTCAGCAGTCTATTAAACTGCCGGGTGGGAAATTTTTTCATCCCCAGAGTCACTCATACCAGAGTAGCCAGTGGTTAGAGGCTATACAGACTAGCTATGACCGGCGTACCACAGCGTGTTACTGATCGGTCAACAGGTAGCATTCGCGCGAACATCAGAGGCCCTATCGGTCGACCGACTGCAATACTCAAGCGTTATACTCACCATACCATTCCCTTCATGTGACATTGGCAACGATCCCATTGCGCCTTGCGGAGAGGGCGCAGCGTCAAATGCCGGACAAACTCCTGGGCTTAAACTGCGCTGATTTACTGAATCCCCACCGGTAGTTGGATGTGCTCCGTCCGACTAGATAAAACGTTTACGGCTTTGAAACTGCGCCTGCACAAACGGGAGCACGGACTCGGCGAAAGGGGACTTCGTCACAAAAGTGTGACGGGTACTGTAGTACTGGCCGATGATCTGAATGCTCAAGTTGCAAAACTACCCACTGGTGGGCTGTTTGAGTGGCCAAGGCTATGTAGTCTCCGGTAATGGTGACGGTGGGTGACAGATACAGCCGTATGAGTATGCTTTTATTTCTCACGAGCACTAACTTCCGACACAGTACCCGTAGGAGGGTATCATGGTGTTCAGCGGTTTCGGACCAGCCATAGACACAAATCGACCACATCGCGATCAGCTACCATTTGTGGGTTGCGTTCAAAACCGTTGCCCGATTCGGAGCGCAAGCAGGGACTCCAACCATGCACTTGCATGTGCTTATCTGCGGGTACGTTTCGCCGCGATGGCGCTGTTAACACATAGGCACATAACAACAGATGAAGCGAAATGTCCTGAGTGCATAGCAACGTACGCTTGCACACAGATTGAATAAGCGCCCGGTGGACACCGTTGACGGCCATTAGTCACATATTCATCAAACGTTACTAGCAGCTTCATGCCCCAACTCCTATTACCAGCGAAACTTCACACAGTCTCTGGAACGTTTGGATGCTGACCGACATATTCTGGATAGGAGCGAATACGACGAACATCGTAAGGATCTCATAGATAAACTGCGTGCTTGTTAAGGAAAATGGTCAGCAGGAGACCTGGCGTTAGCAAAACTATACGCGACGAGAGTGAATAGCCAATCCACAACTTGTCAAAACTCTTGAAGCGTTGGGCCGAGCATTTTGAAACACAGGTTATCAGTCCTAGTTACTGGTTTCCTTACAGGCCATTGATCGCTTTTCTCCCTGGGCCGTACCTATGGATTCACTTTCAAGCTCCGAACTCGGTCATTACATCGGACTGTTGAAACTGAGTAAGACCACTGAACCAGATGGATTTACTCCAGACCTTTTCGAATTCGGGGACTAACCTTTGTAAATGATTTGCACAATTTACTGGATTTGCTCCGTTAGGGTTCCGATTTTCAAAGGGGGCTTACGGATCACGCTGATCACACTTGTTTGTAGGTTACTTGCCTCCATCATTCTTCATCGATTGACTGACACCCGTGAAAGCCACATTGGTGAAGAGTAATCCAGGTTTCGTCGAAATACAGGCTGTACTGATAACATCTTCACTTCGCGTCAGCTATTGGAGCACTGCCACTGATATTTGCGACCCACCCCAAGTGTTCTTTTCGACAATAAAATGCCTTCGATTCTGTGGATCTGTGTCCTTTTAGATTGTTTGACCGGGAAAAGCACTATAAGAGCGTTTTACTTGCGTATCTCGGCCAGATCGACGGCTTATGGCAGACTGTCCCCGCCCTTCAATACCTCTAGCGATGTAAAACAATGGTGCTCGTAGTTAACCTACCTATTCGGCTTCGCAATTTGTGGAGTTGCTGCAACTGCGTCTACTTACGTAAATTTCTGGTTATTATATGTGATTGTAATAGTGATTTTGATTAAATAACCTTCCCTACATGATATTTGTCTCCTACAATTGCTTCGCCACATTGCTTCTAACTTGTGGCCTTCTCATTCGATGGTTGTGATCTTTTTACTCTTTGTGTCGTGTTTTTCATTTCCGTTTCTCACCTCACCGCGATGACGTGAGTGGCGACAGCTTAGTCCACCTAACTACTGCAATCAGAGTAACTGAATTGCAATTAACCACTCAACGGAGCATAAAGCGAAGCACATTATCATTCATTGGCTGCTATAGTTACGTCTAGGAGGGCAGCTTCCAACTACTCACCAAGACGCAGTACTTGACACCCTATCAGCCGCCCCATAGTCTAAAGGTAACGAGCTTGTCTTGTAATCTGATGGCGCGAGTTCGAGCCTGCGTATGAATAGTGCGGCCCTCGCAGTATCCCTAGCCCACGTGCGACCGGTGATGGTTGCGCGGCAGAGGAACATGGATACTGCGTACCAACGTACTGCTGATTCCTTTTCTTGACACCCTATCCAAGCTTAAGCATTTGTCAAGTGTTGGTCTCCTATTCGTCCTCCTGCCGCCGGGATATTCAGGCGGCCGCTTTTTACGCCGCGTTATTAGTTGGAGTCCACGTAGTTACTGTTGATCTCGCAGTATCCATAGCGCGCATGTGATTGGTGGTGGTGGTGGTGCCGTGGCAAGGAAGCAATGATGTGACGCGCCGACATACTTCTGATATATTTTCTGATTCTTCTGACTCAGGTGCTTGTACGTCGCGTGGTTGCATACGGCCGTCGACCGTCGATCAATTTTTCTTCACGAAATCGCGTGTTTTAATACACAAATTTCTCCACGGAGTTAGCCTAATCAAGTCCACTAACCTTGTAACGAGAGCGCCACGGCAATGAAGCACAATCTTTATTGGCGCGATCACCAGCTACGAAACCACGCACACAGGCGTACATTAATATGTCATGTTTCCTTCCCCCGTTGCGCCATCTCTCCTGGCTTCCGCTCGCGACACGTCCATACACTCTTTGAGGTACGGGAAGTATTATACTATGTCCATTTCGCCCCCGTAGCTCCGCTTCCACGCGTCCCCATTCTGACCGATCCGGAGTCGTTCGATAGCTCGTGCTTTGCTTGAACATGGATGTATTGCTCTGCTTGTGCTTATTCCGGGAGGATGCAGTAACGGCGTTTTTTGTCTGATTTGTTACGTTCTCGACGACTACTCTCCCCGTTTTGCTTGGCTCAGGCTCACTTCCGGGCGCCACTCGTGCCCCGTTTTCGTCTCGTTCCGTCAGGCCAGTGTTGCTCCGTCTGCTCCCCCCTCATTGCGTCCGTTTCACTTTCCGTCCGCCATCGTTTTAGTAGCCTATCTATCTTCCGCCTCCCTAAAACATAACTACAGCTAAGCGACCACCTTTTATGTGTCTGGTGCTTATTTGCCTTCCACGTCATCACTAACGATCAAAGACTAGTTGCCTGGTTCCGGCACGGGTCTCACTTCTACATTGCACTTGTAGCCCTACATTGAAAGCCGCCTACATATTCTTCCTATTATTCAGTGTGTTTTCCAGTATATTAATAGAACATCCAGCTGGCACCTAACTCCGCCTCCGTCACGTTTTCCAGTATTCTTTAGTTTCAAATAGCAATGTGGTGGAAGCTAGAGTCTCTGATTATGTTGTTTAAGCCACTTTTCGATGCGGATTGACACCATAAAACCTTTCGACATCGTACGCCACACGATGCCGCTCAGTATTAGTATGCCTCCACACAGCAAAACTCGTCAGTCTAGCGCAGCGAGCACCTATACTTGTGCAGGTTATTGACTGATCTATCGACTTTTCTACCCTAGAATCAAATCATTTAAACTTTTATTCACTACACCACTTTGATCCTTTTCTTTTGTGTGCGGCATTCATAGTGTTGCACCCTCACCTTTAGGCCTGTCCAACTATGCGTCGTTTGGATCATCGATAGCCCACGTTAACCGCTCATCCAATTAAGAGTTCGTTTAATTAATCACTACAACTATGATTTCGGGTTTATCGATTCGCTGCCAACTCACACCGTCTGCTGGTTGTATCCTACTTGCTATTCTATCCTTCGTGTATGGCTTTCGTATATATATATATATATATATATATATATATATATATATATATATATATATATATATATATATCTTGCTCACCATTTGTGTACAGATATTGTGCCATCGGAACCACGACGGAATAAGAAAACATAGTTGGTGTAAAATAAGAAAGGAAACGAATAATTTTTTCGTCCATTGTTCCCTCACAGTTTTTGGGTTTTTTGCTGTTTTTCATTGGAGGATGGAAGGGAAATCACCGCATCAAGCAGAGATACACACCCGCCACTGAGTTCGGTTTTCAACCATGACTTCCAACGTTTCCAACCAACTTCACTCAGCATCATTTGGACTCCATCCAGGGAGTCGGGAGGAACCAACCGTGGCCAGCTGTTTCGTCAGCTTTTTCCTCCTGCTTCTCTAAGTTGTAGGCTGTCCACCACACCGCCTCCTCCAACCCTGTCCAGCGACTGCGAACAAGGCACGACGCGGAAGACGCTGAACGGGCATACGCAGTACGTGTCCGAGCCATCGTAGTTGGCGCAGCGAGACAAGCACCTCGACGGAGTGGCTGTCTCCACCCAAGACACACTGTCTGACTTCACCATTGGTTACGTGGTTCACCCACCACATACATGGACCGCAAGCAACGGTTCTCGAAGCCAGACACTCGACGAAGGTCATCGGTACGAGCAGGCCAAGTCTCGCAACCGTACAACAGTACAGCGCGGA